CCTTTCACAGAGGCACTGAGTTTTATAAATATGAGCAGGATAGTGTAGAATAATCATATCCAAAATTTTTTGGAACCTCTTCTGTAGGTGTGGCCTGCTTTCTGGGTCCACTGGTGGAACCTCTTTTAACCGGTTTGGTAGATTTGACGAACCGGTTCTACCGAATAGGTGCGAACTGGTAGGAACCCACCTCTGGACTCGCTTAACAACTAGTAGGAGAAGCAAGATCCTTTCTTAGCAAAGGAAATTCTGGATCCAATTACGGACTTTTTCCTGATTCTACTGACACAACCAATCTTCTTTTTCTTTCTGAAATTTAGATTAGTGTCTCCTTCATTAGGATGTTAAATTTAAGAAGGTGTCCTTGTGTGAGAAGAACTGTGGATGTTCATATGTAATGATTGATTGATAGTTCAGAGAAGAACAACTAAGACGATGAAAAGTCTGGAGATTAAAACATATGAAGAACAGCTGCAGGATTTGGGCCTGGCTAGTCTAAAGAGAAGAGGGAGGACATGATAGCAGTAGTCCAGTATTTGATGGGCTGCCACAAAGAAGAGGCGTTCAAATTATTCTCCAAAGCACCAGAGGGCAGGACAAAAACCAATGGTTGGAAACTAATCAAAGAGAGAGGCAACCTGGAATTAAAGAGAAACTTCCTAACAGTGAGAACAATTAACAGAGGAATAGCTTGCCTTCAGAAATGATGGGTGCTCCATCACTGGATATTTTTAAAAAGAGACTAGACAGTTACTTATCTGAAATAGTATAGCTTCTCCTGCTTGAGCAAGGGGCTGGATTAGAAGACCTCCAAGGTCCCTTCCAGCTCGTTCTATTCTATTCTATTGTAGTCCAACACACTCACATTCGTGTGATAAAATGGAGGATCTATCAATGCAATTGTTTGCAGATCCTTATTCGGTAAGGATGCCAAGGCTGTAAGACAGACAAACCAATAGGTGAATAACGAATGCCCAAATCTCATATTGTATATGAGCAAACACAAGTGGAAACACATTATCATGTCCAGTTGGGACAGGGCATCCTCAAGTATTTATCCAACAGAGTTATTCCTGGTGGCAAATAGATTATGAAGCGGAAACCTAGCAGGGATGTGATGAAATCATCAAAGCCCTGCTGTGACAGGTCGGCAAGCCCCCTTCAGGAACAAAATTGTTCATGCCCCCTCTGACTTCAATGCCGGCATGGATAATTCCAATGAAAAGCCCCGCTGTCGACCCGAAGCGAGCCCCATCCCACCTACTGCCACTTGGGGATTGATTGCCTACCTTAGCCTAATGCTCTGAATAGCTTTCCAAGCGGGGGACCCATAAGTCCGATATGACAATATTTTTGAACACTCGCAAGAGTGCCTTCATAGTGGCATCACAACCGAACTCTGCTCCTCTGTGGGGTCCAACAAATGAATCACAACTAGAGGAATTGGACCCCAGCTTCATTGCTTTGGGCTGATGTACACGAACTAGGGCAAGCCCTTTGTTATTTGAAGGGCTGGTGGAGAAGGAACAACGACTCTGTGAAAATTCCTCTTTGTAGACCAAGTATTTGAACACTTAAGTGCTAAGTGTAGTGAATGGCAAAAAATGTGTCTTGCACCTAGCCAAGGTCTGTCTGTCTGTCTGCCTGCCTGCCTGCCTGCCTGCCTGCCTGCCTGCCTACCTACCTACCTACCTACCTACCTACCTATCTATCTAAATGTGTGTGTGTGTGTGTGTGTGTGTGTGTGTGTGTGTGTGTGTGTG